TGTTTCTCTCTCTCTCTCTCTCTCTCTCTCTCTCTCTCTCTCTCTCTCTCTCTCAAAAATATTGAAAGAGATAAAATATTTTTATTAATATAACTAACAATTTCCTCATACCTGAGTCCCAATGGAAGAATTGACAATAGTTGAGTTTTCACTACTGTGGTACTTTTTCTCCTACAGAGTCCATATTTACATGTTTTTATAGAAAAGTTTAATGGAGGAAAACCAACACTTCTAAATGCTCATTTATGGGGAAATCACATCATTGTTTATATGTCGAAGAACATGAACATTTCCTCCATTTCAATATTACAGAGAGATTTTGAGGAGAGTTGCTAAGTGCTCCTAGTTAGAGTAATCATTTCAAGATTATAATAAGGTTAATGTAACTGATCATAGCAACGCTGAGCATGATTAAGAGCTTATTCTGTTTTTAAGAAGAAGCATCAGCCTGCATTGGTGTCTCACTGGATGACATATTAAGAATAAGAAAAAAGTTTTTCTATCACCCAAAAGTGGCTGAGGATACAGAGAAACTATTACTATGTTTTTTTATTGTATATATATATCTTATCTAGACAGGAGAGCATAAACTAATAAACTCTGTCCTACTTTAATGCCAGATCATGCAAGAACTAAAAGGGGGGTTATAAATTCGTTAACTGCATGTTTCCAATCTCTATTAATCAAACATCTGCTCCTCTTTCCTTCCTCCTCCCCATTACCCTCTCCTCTCATACTGAGCTCACATCAGTTGCCCACTGAATATTTTTTCTTCTATTCATTCTAAGTACTCAACATACCACCAAATAATTTCTTTCTCCCATTGGAAAAAAAATATCTCCTAAGCAGAGATCTAAATTTCTAGTCAACGTTTCTCAATTTCCTTTTTTCAGACTGGTGTCTATTCCAAATTGTTTCTATGTAAACAGTTTTATTTGGTAATCTGGCTACTTAATGGTATCAGGCACTTAATTTATTTCAACAAGATGAAAGCTTCAAAGAAAATATGGACTGAAGGAATTACATTTCTTGAATTTAGCATTTGTCATGTCTAATCTTTATTTTAGCAATATTGCATCATAATAGACAAAGTGACATAAGAAAGGTGCTCTTGAAATGAGAATGTTTGTTCATTTTCTTTCTTTTTATTCCTAAGGACTCTCGGCTATTGGCCAAGTTATTGTGACATGGTCAATGGTACAGGTAAGAGCATTTTTCTTGGCAGTAATCACAATGAACCCACCTCCTCTCTCCCACAAATCCACCATTATACCTAGAGGATTCTGTAGGGGAGAGTATATGTTTACCTGTCTTTATACCCCAGAACATAATTTCAGAGTCTCTACTCTTTAACAGGTTTAATAAATATCTGCTTAATGTGATAGGATTTCTGAAGACTAAGCATCAAGGATTGGCCTTTATTGAGTTACTAGGGAAATGTTTGCTTTGTAAAAGCTTTACTTAATGAACTGCCTTCCTGACAATAGAAGTAATGGATTAAAAAACTTAGAAAAGGAGCTACTATTCACATCCTTTGTAAATACTGTACAGATAATAATTTAAAATTGAAAAACAATAAAAAATATCAAGGTAATTACAAAAGGTGAATCACGGTTCCAAGGAAGGTTTCAAGCTGAGGTAGAATCGATAGAGTTGCAAGACAGAGCTGTCTATTTGAATAAGGTGGTCAGAATGAGAGAGAAAATAGCAACAAAAACAAGGTTAGGTGTCTACTAACCATGAAAAATGTATGCAAAGATGAAAATTCTGAATAAGATTTGGGAAAAACACAGACTATGAGCTTATAGTATGGTTAGAACTGGCTGATTGTACTCCTTGAAGAAAAACAAAGTACCCATATGCCTATTAATTTAAGAGTTAAGATTTTAAAGAGCAAGAGAAATCAAACATCATGAGTAATTAAAACAGAGGTGAGCTTTCAACAACTAAGAAGTAGAGGCAGGGGAATGATGTTTGCAAAGTTGGTGAGGCAATACCCTGCAGGAAAACGGTATAATAAAGACGAAGGACTTTAGATACAAAATTATGCAAAAAAAAAAAAAAGGTAATAAAGAGGAATACCAAAGTGTTGTTGACTTTGGCATTTTTTATTTAATTTTGTTATCACTCCCTTATAGAAAAACAAAACAAACATGGGTTTGATTGGTAATGCTTTGAGCCATGAAGGTGGATGAAAGGAAGAAAGAAAAATAAATAAATTCCTTTCTAAGTAAAGCGTTTCTGCAAATCAATTGTAAAGTGTCTCAATACCACTAGCTCTAGTCATTGCATAAGCATAATACTTCAGTCCTTAGGTGCAGAGTGAAAGGCACTGTGCTGTTCCTAAGTACTGATGGGTTCTTTATGAGTCTAGAAAAAAAAAGTATTAAACATTTCTGTCTAAAGCTAGAAGTAGAGAAGCTTTAAAAGAGGAGCTAGGATATTTAATAATGACAATAGTATAAATATATGAGAAACTGGTATGAAATTACAAGATCTAAGAGGAAAACAGAAATAATAATAATAAAAAATAAAACAGGAGCAGAGGTAGGTTGGACAGGGTAGGGGACTCCGCTATGATCCCTGTAAGACAGATTTTTGGTCACGAAACAGAAAAAGTTGCAATGTGTTTTCATCACAACTTAAAAAGTCTTCCTCTGCCTTCTTCAGGAAGTTGGAAGAGATGTACAATAACAGTATTAATGTACATTTGAATGCTTTTTTAATACCCTGTTAATATCAGCTATCTAGTTGTTGGTATGATTATGATGTAAGCTTCAGTGATATTTCAGATAATGATTTTTAAATCTTTTCAAGGTTCTTTTTCATTAATGGTTAAGACTTGGAAAGACAGTTGTAGGCAATGCCCATTCAGTGACCTATTTGGGGAGTTTAAGCTAATCTGTAATATTCAGTTCCTTAATGGCAGGATCAAGTTCATTGTGATCTTCTGTTGCATTTTACTTATCACAAGAGTATAAGTGAAAGGTAATAAGATTACAAGGTTGGAGACTTACCAGAGAAATAACCTAGAATTCATAATTGAAGGATGGGTCTTATCATTATAGATAAAAACATTCAGTGGTGGCTCAGTTTGGTGATATTCTTTTAAGGAGCAAATGGAGGAGTTATCTCATTATTTCTTCATATATTCAGACTGTGCCATGGATCATGACCACAGCAGAAATTCAATAAATTCAAAAAATGCTCTTTTTAGTTTGATGGATATGTTTTCAAACCATTTGTAAGAAATTCTTAGTGAGAGGACTTTAAAAACTGATTTCAATAATATTAGTCAGCCATTAGAGCAGATGAATGAATCACTATCAAAAGTACAATGCAAACTGAAAAGGAATGCTAAATCAATTTCATGCTAAAAAAAAAAAAAAAAAGTGCCACTCTACTACATGTTTAAATGACAATATTTTGGGTATATTGGGTTAAATAAAACATACCTGTTTTGTTTTACTTTTAAAATTGTGGCTACTAGAGAATTTTAAAGCTACAGATACAATTGACATTACTATTTCTATTGACCATGCTGGAATAGAGATTTCTACATTCTTCTAGGACACATGTGACATCTAATCACTTGACACTGGCTTAATTTTTAAACAGATGCAGCCACATTTCCTCCTTTTGTTGAGAAGACCCGGGTACTGCAATTCTTCTCCTCTGACATTTGCAGGTAAGACAAAGACACATACATTTCTGTGAGTCAGAAAATTTTCCCATGTAACAAAACACAGGCCAAGAAGCTCATACTTAATGTTATTTGAGAAAAATAAAATACATGTAGTGAAACTTTTCTTCATTTATTAAGAATAAATACGACAGTCATAATATGTTTATTTATGCTTTAAAAAAAGTAAAGGATGTAAAAAGATATTTTACATAATATAAATCATTCTCTTCTTGTTATGTCTAAGCAAGAACTCTTTCTTTCTTTTACTAAACTTTCATTATATTTAACTAGAGGCCCGGTGCACAAAAATTTGTGCACTCAGGGGTGGGGGGACCCTCAGCCCGGCCTGTGCCCTCTCGCAGTCTGGGACCCCTCGGGAGATAACGACCAGCAGGCTTAGGCCTGCTCCCGGGTGGCAGAGGGCAGGCCCAATCCCTAGGTGCTGCCCCCTGTCATTGTACAGAGCAGGGCAGATTGGGAGGTTGTGATGCCACCCTCATTCACGCTCAGGGTAGGGCCAATTGGGGGGCTGGTGCTGGGGTACAGCCCCAGCGGGTCCAGGGGTTCCCAAAGGTGTGGACGGAGTCGGCGAC